AGCCGCTCACTGTGGCTGCTGGCCACTCATGCTGGCTGCTGGCTACACACGGTAGCCCATGGCAACCCACTGCAGCAGGGGCTGCAGCCTACGCCATCGCCGGCAACTCACAGCAGCCCACCTCCAGGTCAAGCTGTTGTTCACCATCTTAGCTGTAGAGGGCACAGCATCTCTGGCCCTCATGTGGGATCCGAACTGGGGCCCTGCTGCTTAGAGCTGGCGTCCCAAGTCAACTCTTAATCAATGTGACACTCAGCGGCCCTGTATGTAGCATCTTAAATTCAAAAGTAGTTTTTCTCTCTTTCTTTTTTCAGATTCTAATAATGCCAAAAGTGTGTATTTAGATGTTATTCTGATTATAGAAATTAACTGAATGGGCTTTACCTTATTCACTTCTTGGAAGACTTTTGTTTAAAATGCTATTATGAAATCTGGTTCAGTGATGTTGCAAGATAGAATGTTACATACAACTTTGAAAATTATTCTAGGAACATATATTAATCTAATTAATTTCATGTTCTGTTTTTTGTAGACAAAGGATAGGGTAATAGAATAATGATTACTTAAATTGTCCTGAAGTGCAAAGATAGAGATCACCAACAAATGTGCCTTATATCTATTCTTCAGGAATTTTTAACAAGTCATCCCATATTCTAAATGTTAGAATTAGGGAAACTGCTTAATATTTATTGATGCTATATTCAAAGTCTTAGTAGAAGAAAAGAACATCACAAGAATAAGTAAAACAGAGTTGTTTGGGGACACGTACTAACAAAAATAAAAGATGAGCACAATAATTTAAAATTTTTTTAAAAGTAACTATTAAGAAATCAGAGAATTCTACAATGTATTACAAGAATTGCATTATAACAGATGTTAAATACTCTCTTAATATTTCATAAGTGTGTCAATTGGCATTGATTTATTTTTAAAAATTATTTGGGAAGTCTGTTTATATTAAAATAAATTATGTGGATTACTCACTATAATCTGCCACTTTCTTGTAATGATTTAGGGCAACTTCACAATTCTGTAGAACATTGATTCCTGACAAATATCTGTACCCCTAAAACACAAGCATATATATTCTTTATTCTGACAATGCTGTATTTGTTATACACACCTACTTGAGCCCAAGAATATTTAATTTACAAACCAAAATCATCTGGGACATCATGCTTCCTCCAGCACTTCCAAAGGTATAATATATCAGTGCCTAAAGTAAAAAAAAAAAAGAAAAGAAAAAATATATGTATATGTGTATATATGTATATATGTGTGTATACACACATATATGTCATCTAAATTTGAAAGTCAAACCAATTGTTTTTTATTCCTAGCGTAGCAATGAACCTTGAACTACTGCAAATAAATTCCAAACTTCATTCTCTTCGTGTATAAAGACAGCTGACATTTTGGGGGTCTTAGCTCTGGGGTCTGTGCTAGAGCATTGTACATGATATTTTATTTAATGGTTACAAAATCCCTATGAAGTAGATTTTATCTGTCTTTAATGAAGAACCTGCAATATGGGATATTAAGAAACTTATTGTATTTTTAACCCTAAACTTCTCTGACTATTGAGCTGGTGCTTTTAGTTACTGCATTACAGTGAGTTTCTTCACCTAAAAAGTAGATTCTATTCAATGTCCCTTTGAAACATATCAGTTTTGTTTCAGAAAAAAATATAGAATGACCTTACCTTGGCTGGATTATATTCCATTCCTATTCCATAAGAAGACAAAAATCCTAATGCCTGAAACCCAAAAGAAAAAGTCAATAAATACATTTATTTCCCAATAATTCTTATCTACATTGGTAAGGGATATTTTAAATGTTCATTGCATAATCATTTGTATTGTTAACTTTTTTCTTATATCATAACAATGTGCCTTTTTACACTTTTGTTAAGGCTGCAAGAATTTGGAAAAGGTCATAATAGTGGGAGCTTTGTATGTACATGGAAATCGGCTAATACTTATTGAACTTTAGTATAAATAATAATAATAAAACACAACAAAATGAAGCTAGAAATCAATAGCAAAAAGAGGACTGAGAAATTCACACATATATGGAAATTAAGGAATATATTCTTGAATAACCAGTGGGTCAAAAAAGAAATCAAAAGGAAAATTAGAAAATATCTTGAGACATAAGAAAACTAAATTGCAACCTACCAAAAGTTATGAGATGCAGCAAAAGCAGAAGAGAAAGTTTATAGAGGTACATGTCTACATTAAAAAAGAAGAAATATCTTGAATCAACAACTTAACTTTATGTTGGGAGCCAATTGAGGATAGCTGGGGATACTGAGGCTGTGGCAAACTGCTACATGCCTCTATGCAGGACCCTATGCCTAAAGTAGCGGCTGGATAGAAGAGACTGCTTAGTAACTGCATACACAAGGTTTGGACACTCCCAAAAGTACCCATTCCCACAGCAAGCCAACCGCCAAGCCCACTGTAAGGCTTGCTTACAGTTTCACTATGGACTCATTGCTTAGGTGATTTCAGGCCTCCCGAAATCCCCGGCCCTAGTTCCTGGTTTCTGTATGCAACACCTAAAGCCCCCTCCTAAAACCCCGTACCAAAATCTCTGTGCATAGCTAGGGAAGTTTCCCTGCAAATAAGGAAGTTGCTTTCTATATAACCAATGGCTATCCAATAAACAGTGGCACTCTCTGCCACCAGCGGCAGAGTGTCCCTCCTAATCCCACTTTTGGTGTCTGTGCCATCTCTTTTCTTTCTCCATTCCTCGCGTTGAGCAATCCTGCTCAGGGACCATTTGGTGGTCTCCTGACCTGATCACCTAGGTGCCCTGGTTGTCGAGCCGGCTCTTGACAACTTTACACCTCAAGGAACTTGAAAAAGAAGAAAAACTAAACCCAAAATTAACAGATGGAAGGAAATCATAAAGATTAAAGGGAAAATAAACAAAGAGAATTGCAACATAATAGAAAAAAATCAATGAAACTGAGTTGGTGTTTTGAAAAGATCAACAAAATTGACAAACACTTTTAGAAAAAATGTCACAAGAGACTACTATGTACAATTGATACAATGCCAACCAATTGATAGCCTAGAAGAAATGGACATATTTCTAGAAATATATAACTATAAAGACTGAATCATGAAAACATAAAAATTCTAAATAGACCTATAACTAGTAAGGAGATTAAATTGGTAATAAAAAACCTCCAACAAGAACAGCCCAGGACCTGGTGGCTTCATTGGGTAATTCCACCAAACTTTAAAAGAATAACACCAATCCTTCTAAATTCTTCTCAAAAATTGAGATAAAAGCATGTCCATACTCATTCTATGAGGCTAGTATTATCCTGATAACAAAGCTAAACAAGAACACTACAAGAAATGAAAGTACAACCCAATGTCCCTAGTATATATTGGTGAAAAAATCCTCCAGAAAACGCTAGCAAACAGAATTCAACAGCACAAAAAGAACTGTATACCAATAACTAAGTGAGATTAATTCCTAGAATGCAGGGAAGGCTCAACATGTGAAATCAATGTGTATATATCACATTGAGATATGGAGGGGGTAAAAAATTACATAGTTATCTCATTTTATGCAGAAAAATCATTTGACACAATTTTGCACACTTCTAGGATAAAAACACGAAACAAACTAGGAATAGAAGAAAATTACCTCAACATCATAAAGGATATATATGTCACACAGCTAACATCATACCCAATGGTGAAAAATCTGAAAGCTTTCCCTCTAAGATTAGGAACAAGGCAAGGATGCCCACTCTTACCACTTCTATTCAAAATAGTACTGGAAATACTATCCAGAGCAATTGGGCAGGAAAATAAAAGAAAGGGCTTCTAAATTGGAAAGAAGTAAAAATTATCTCTGTTCACAGATGACATGATCTTATATGTAGAAAACCATAATGATTTTATCAAAAACTGCTACAACTAATTAAGTCAGCAAAGTTGCAGATACAAAATCAACACACAAAACCAATAGCATTACTATACATTAACAATGAACAATTGGAAAATGAAATTAACAATCTCATTTACAATAGTATCAAAAAGAATAAAATAGTTAAGAACGAAGTTGTCAAAGAGGTGAAAGACTTATACAGTGAAAACTACAAAACATTGATGAAAGAAACTAAAGAAGACATAAATAAATGGAAAGATATCCCATGTTTATGGATTGGAAGACTTACTATTATTAAAATGTACCCAAAGAGCTTACCTTCAATGCTTTAAATTCAATGCAACCTTTATCAAAGTACCAAATCCATTTTTTTTTCAGGAACAGAGAAAACTACATCCTAAAATTCATATGGAATCTCATGAGATCCTGAATAGCCAAAACAATATTGCAAAAGAAAAACAAAGCTAGAGGTCTCACACTTCCTGATTTCAAAACATATCACAAAGCTACAGTAATAAAAACACTATGGTACTGGCATACAGATAAACATATAGATCAATGAAACAGAGAGCCCAGAAATAAACCCTCACATATATGGTCAAATGATTTTCAACCAGGATGCCAAGCCTATAGACATTAGGGAAAGGATAGTTTCTTCGATAAATAATGTTGGGAAAACGATATCAAATGACAAAAAATAAAAGCAATTTCTTCCCTTATACAGTATACATAAGTTAACTTAAAATGGATTAAAAGCCTAAATGAAAGACCTGAAACTATGAGACTCCTAGAAGTAAACACAAGGAAAAGTTTCATGATATTGGATTTGGTGATGATGTCTTGGACACAACACCAAAAGCACAGACAACAAAAATAAAAACAGATAAATTGGGCTACATAAAAATTAAACTTCTGTGCAACAAAGAACACTATCAATAGAGTGAAAAGACAACCAATGGAATGGGAGTAAATATTTACAAATCATATGTATTGAAAGTTGTTAATATCAACAATATATAAAGAACTCCTACAACTCAACAACAAAAAACAACCCAATTTTAAAAATGACACAGGATTTGAATAGATATTTCTTCAAAGAAGGTATATGGCTGTCCATCAAGCACGTGAAAAGATGCTCAACATCACTAACCATAAGGAAAATACAAACAAAAAATATAAAGACATACCACTTCATGCCCATTAGGATGGCTCCTATCAAAAGAAACAAACAAGCAAAACTAGAAAATAAAACGTGCCACTAGGATATGGAGAAATTGTAACTCTTGGTGGACATGTAAAGCAGTGCAGCCACTGTGGAAAACAACATGATGCTTCCTTTAAAAATTAAATAGAATTACAATATAAACCTGCAATTCCACTTATTTGGTATATACCCAAAAGAATTGAAATCAGGGTCTCAAATAGATAGTTCTATATCCATGTTTATAGCAGCATTATGGGGTATGATAAAAGACTATGGTGAATGTTTAAATTAAAAAAAATTATTATAGTATAAGACACATTGCTATTAATCCCCCTCAAAATACTCCCACTCATTTCAAACATACTTATCCCATCGTTCTTGGCACTTTCTGAAGCTGTTCTGGAAGTCCTCTTTCATAAATGTCTTTAGGTGCACTGTCATGATTGCCTTGATGTCCTGAATTGATTCAAAACATTTACCTTTCATGGTCATTTTGACTTTGGGGAAGAGCCAGAAGTCTCATGATGCCAGATCCAGTGAATAAGGTGGATGAGGACACACCATAATGTTTTTATTTGACAGAAATTGCCATACCAGAAGCAATGTGTGACACGGAGCATTGTCATGATGGACAATTTTACCCATTTCATGTTAATGCGTTGTTCGTGATCCATGATTTACAGCACACTTTAAAACACACCTTACCTCGACTGTACCTTCACACTGAACTGACTGCACCAAACAAGTGGAAACTTGTTACACACTGTTACTAAATGTTGACGCGCCGCTTCCCATATTGAAGATCCCTGCCTTTCCATTGGGTGGCACTTGGCAGTAGCATTCACCATATATTTTGATCACGCCTCATAGTTACAATAGCTAAAGTTGTAAGCAACCCAAGTGTCTATCATCAGTGGATGAATGGATAAACAAAATGTGGTATGCATGCATGAAATATTATTCAACCTTGGGGCCAGCTGAGTGGCTCAGTTGGTTAGGAGCTTGCTCAAGAGTGCGAGCTCTGAGCAATAGGGTCGCTGGTTTGATTCCCGGCCTGAGCTGAGCTGCCAACAGGTGGCAGGATGGCTCAGCTAAAAAAAAAAAAAAGAAGACAAATACTGTGTAAATTCACTTGATGAAGTCTCCAAAATAGTCAAACTCTTAGAAACAGAAAGTAGAATGAAGGTTACTAAGGGCTGGGGAGAGGGAGAAATAGGGAGTGGTTCAACGGGTATAGGGTTTCAGGTTTGCAAGATGAAAAGTTCTAGAGCTACATTATGCAACAATGCACATATATTTTACACTGTTGTTCTGTACACTGAAAATGCTTAAGAAGGTAAACGTAAGTATTTTTTTATCTCAAAAAATGTGAAAGTCTCCCTTCATTGCCAAATTCTCACTCCTGATGATATTTTGATATGTGTCTTTCCAGACCACTTTCTAAGCATTCATCTACATATATGTGTAGGTTTTTTTTTTAAGCTCACTCTTTACTGATTTGGAATTCCTTTGTTATAATCTACTATATTTTCTTATATTTATGGATCTAAGTCTAGACTTTCTAATGCTTTGGTTTTCAATGGACTATCCTGAAGAGGTTTTAGGAAACAAATTAAGACCCCCATCTTGGGAAATTCTGA